ATATATTGTACAATATTCTCACTTTTAGGTCGTCTTTGGAAACTATATAGGTATTACACTTTGTAATAGCTAGCTAATTAAGCCCTCTTAATTGCTTCCTATCTAAGTTTTGCGATATCGCCTAAATCGGCTTAAAAATAGCCTTTTAATACTAATGTTAAACATTAGCGTGAAACTATCTGTTCAAGCCCTGCAATGTAAAATAAACGCGGGCAATCGGTATTAATATTTATGCATCTTTATGAAGATGTATTTTTGGATCGATCCGCATGGGTAGCGTCAAGTGCATCTTCCTGTAAACGTTTAAATATCGGAAGTAAAGGAAAGCATTAGTGGTTCCCAGTACCTGTCACTGAATGTATCTGCCTAAAATGAAATATAGGCTTTACGATAAGCAAGAACATGTCCGAAACAACGGATCTTTTCCGAGCTATAGATGTATCAACAATAAATTGAAGCAAGATTCAGAAAGTCCAATTCAATGCCATTTTCACACGCCTTGCTTATTTATCATTTCCGTAAATCCGCTAATCTACTTCTAGTATTGATGCTATGCCGTAATGTCAACCTCTACCAATCACGCATGAGCGTACCACTGTCTGAGGTAGGGAGTTTGACAGCTAAAAACCATAATTAGTCACGCTATACTCCGAATTCTAGAAAAAAAAAGTGGTGATCGGCCGCATTCCAAGATAGTCCATCACATGCGTCATCTTCCTCCTATATAGCGAGACAAAAGAGATGTTTACGGCTGCTAGCTATTTGCAAAGGAGGAATTTGCCCTCAGACACTGCTGGCCAATTCAATAATTTATTTTAAAGATTTATCTCACGCAATAACGTCGTTTATCTATCAAAATGGCTACGGGGCAACTAGCTGGCAGACAGTAGTGCAGTACAGGAAAGTCCGCCATAAGTATCTGTTAATACCATATTGGAATTCCTTTCACTCTATGCTCCCTTGACCTGCGTGTGCCGAATTCCCTTTAAGCCACTTGCTTTGGCAAAGGTTCCGTCGCACTGGACGCATACGCGGCCGGTCGGACACTTCTTGGCGGAGTTTCCCGACGTTTTGAAAAGAAATCAGGCTGCAACAAAGCTACTGTTTCTGCGATCCACGACATAAGCCGTGTGGATAAATTGTTTCTCCAATGTAACTCAGCTGTCCTTGAACAAATGTGGAAATGAGAGTGCGTTGAGGTCAAATGGCATAGCAGTGGGAGAGCTCTGCAGATTTATTATATATCTATTATTATTATTTCAAGTCGATTATAAGTCGCAATATTTGGGCAAAGCCAGTGGAAGAAAAGGACGAAAACGAAGGCTCACTTTCCAAAGCTCTGTTTTTCTTATTATTCCTGGCCAGTTATAGTAGCCTAATGTTGATATTTACTTCGTGTACATTAGTAAAAAGTATTCACCCCGCTTGTTTGCCCAAGACTCAAGGAGCGCCTGAACTGTTTTTCTTGCGTAGTCTCTTAATTTTCTCTCTGCGCAATCTCCATACGTATTTCCCGCGCCACAGAATTTGCTTTCATATGTTTTTGACTCTTATTTTTTTTACCTTGAGAGTAATTTATCTAGCTATTTAGATCCCTGTGGGACAAGACAAAGAAAGTAAATTGCCAATGTACGCCAAATGGATGAGTACACACATAATGTATTGTTATTGTTCTTTATTAAAATAAAAAGAGATGCAACCGCGTTCTTTGATTGGTTGTGTTATTGCGTGGCAGGTATAAGAGAAAGTCCACTGCAGCTGTATGGGTATCGAAATTCATAACCTTCGGCCAAAACGTTCACTCCAATATTATTACGAGCAATTGCAGTCTTCATTTCAGTTAACGGTATTAACAGAATTTTTCTAATTACTGCAATGAAAACCTTTCTCACACCCTGCATCTTGTAAAAAAAACCATATTTGTCCAAGGAATAATGATATAGCAGGTGTAATGTAGGAAGAGACTGCTTGCAGCGTATCAGCCACTATCTCAACAGCCATGTCCGACCATCCTGCAGTTGCTTTTTGTAGAGAGTTTGAAATACTGCGCGGTACAGGGTGAATGTCATTTGTCAAATCTCGGAGCAATGTGGGTCTCTCCCATACAGTTAGACCTAGTCTACAAAAATTATACCTGTTGAACCTATACTTAGTCTTGCTTAAGCATCATTGTCTATTGGCCTGACATTCGAATAACTGGGACGGCCGCGGGTCTTGCGAGTAAACAAAGAATGCCACTGGACATAAAGACAGCTTTATATCTCGCGGCTGCGGACAGCGAGCCTTGTCTGAACTACAACGCAGCGGATTTTCAATGTATTAAAGCCGCGCCAACCTATACAGATTATGATCTATTCTTTTAATTTGTTAAGGATCGGCTGGTGACTCTTACTAACCATGTTCATCTACTAATTAGATTTACCATTTCATAACTACTAGTTTGAAATATTGTTAAACGACACATCTGAAACAACTCCACCAAATCTCAGTTTCTGCCAGGCGTAAATTAGTGCTTAACCCGAGCGTCGTTAAGGCCAACTGCGTTTCAGATATGCGAATAAAAAGTTTACCTTGCAAAATTACGTAGTTTTCCTAGATGTAACTTATATACTTGCTGTGAAGGATAAGCAAGAATGTGATATTATAATTTAAGTCGATTTGTGTCACCCCTATCCGCACCTATGCGTCAGTTCGGCTTCAGCTAGATTGTATTTTATGCAGATATAATTTCAAACAAAGTGGCCGAAAATTACGTATTACTCCGCACCCGCTGCTTCTCATAAGTTTTAAAGAAGTCACGGATGTGCCAGCCCAACTTCTGGCTGAGATCTTCTTTCGTTCCTTCGGAAAGTCTGAAATTTCATTTGTATTCAGGCAACCAATTGCGATCCTAATGAAAAAGAGGGTCACAGTCATGCTGTGAAGCCTACCGCTCGCTTTCCTCTCTGGTTGGTTATGCAAAGGATACTTATCGACACCATTTAGAGCCATCTGTCTTCGAAGGTCTTTCCCGATGTAAATCAGTATAGATTCGCGAAAGGGAAATCTCTTGCTAGTCAAGTCGTAGAGATATTAAAGGGCGGGTCTTTTACAGATAATCACAGAAACCTTATCCGTTGTGTCCACTTTTTCGCGTACGTTTGATCCAGTTGTCTATTCCCAGATATATCCATAATCTATTTTCTTTCAATACGATTGCCTTTGGAACCGGATTTGTGGGCACCGAACGGAGAACGCCAATGCCCTTTCTAATACTGCACCAGGCTCCTCAGGAGTCCCACAGAGGCCGCGGATTATTATTATATGCTATGCTTTTTTAGGGATTTATAAAGATCATGTCGAAAATTTTTTACGGAGTATAACCAAAAAATCTATTGTGAAGTTAAAGAAAACGGACAATCCGCAGTTTATCTTATTTAGCTATGACTACAGAAAAAAAATAACATTACATTACCTTCATTGGGGTATGCTGGTTGATTTAGCCTGAAATTGCAACATTACACATTTAGCTCATTCTACTGTGTAAACAACGGTCCGAATGACGGGACATTTTTTTTTCTTCACTTCTTATTTTTTTCGATAGAAGTCGATTCCGTGAGTGTGAAGTAACTAACCGTTATGATGATTAGCACCGTAAAGCTCTGATCCCTGCGCTGCAATTAGCATGTTCCGCGGAGGTGCCGATTTCTGCTATTGCCTACCTTGTGCAAAAGACCCGACAAGGACAGGATTAGTCGGCAAAGATAAGGACAAAACTAGCGTAGTTGCTTTAGATAATAATAGTGATATATAGCTCTATCAACCTAATTCGCAGCTCATATAATATTTAGAAATTATTGAGCCCCTAAAATTTGCGATCTTGACAGAATCACTTCACAGCAGTAAAATCCGTTCTGCTGTCATAGTGCTAGTTTACGATGCGCATTACTGCTAGTGCCTATTTAAAAGACAAAAAAAAATGTATCTTGCTTTTTTAAACCTCGCAAGAAAAGCATAATGAGGGCCGCATTTTCTTTTCTTTTGCCCCTGAGTATTTTTCTAACTAGTATCACAGTGAACGTAAAAGTATATCATAGATTCTTGCTTAGTTAGCTACTATACGATGACCATACGACATATAATGCATAGTCTAGTCGCAGAGCATTACTTATGACAGTTATTTGTAATGAACTACTCTTTTACTTCCTCTCTCTTTCTACTATTCTAATTGTTTCTTCTGTTGCAGGAGGGCGCAGCGCCGATAGCCAAGGGCGCGGGCGGTAACGGCGGTTAACGTTGCTCCTGTTGTTGCTATTATTATTGTGCTTGTCTCCCCGTTCACAACTATCCAAGTTCAGTTATCTGTTGCTTCCGCTCTTGCTGCTGCTAATAGACGCGTCGCGAACATCGTTACCGTACGCTTTGTTGTTGAGATTACCGACGACGAAAATCATCAAACAGCTGCAAATAGTGCCAGTGACGTCAAGAAACGGACTAGCAGCTTTGCCATCTGGAACGAGATCAATACTATTTTCTTGCTATTATTAACGCTGTGATTGTTAGGCAAAGCTGTGACGGCGCCACCAAACAAAAGGTCACTACTACCGAAGGTCTAAGAAGGCGAAGTACTATTAGTCGAAGACAACAACAAAGAAAAGCGTACCGAGGCAGAACAATTAACAGCAGCGAAATCTGGAAAGTTAGAAAGCGTTAGACGAACATCATCATTGCTACTATTACGGCAGTGACGACGACGAACGTTTGGGTCACCTCTGTTATCGGCACTTCTACTGTCAGTACAAGCACCGGTACCTCACCGTCACGCTGCAGCACTTCGACGGAATTGCGTGCCACGTTGCGGGTGGCTTGCTGGGCCCCCTGCTGGGCTAGAGCTGGGGGCTGCCAACGCCCACCGCTGCCGCCGAAGCTGCCGCAGCTTAAGCAGCAGCAGCCATAGCAGCAGCCGTTGCAACGTGCTCATGGGCTCGCCGACGGCGTTGATCGCTACTATCACCACCACAACCAGTAGTACATCTACAACGGCCACCACGACGAGTACCACTAAACGCCAACAACAACGACGGCATAGTAAAACACCAACGATTGCCGTGATACCTGTGCAGCGGACTAGGTCGGCTCAGCTTGCTGCCTTTGGCTGCTCAAGTCCGTCCGCAGAATGGTCGCGGACGGCCTCGACCGCTGCGGGCGGGCGCTACAGCGACCGTAACAACAGCAGCAGCACTGGACTTTCGATAGCGGCGACAGCAGCAACAACAGCAACGAAGGAAACTTCAAATTTCAAGCCGTCCTGTTTACCAACAGTAAAATGTTCGCCCTCATCGAGAGCGACCTCGACGAAGACGCTAGCGTTATCGACGACGCAGACGCAACCTCAATCGTCACCGCCGGCGCCGTCACCGTTGCCGCCCATCGTAACCTCTAGGGCACCCTCGCTTACGCGCCGACTCAGCCTGATGTGGATCTACCTGCTGCTCGTAGCCTCCAGCGCCACGCACCGATCGCACGCCAAAACACCCACCCAGAAGCCCATCATTAAAATAGGTGTGTAATATTATACTGTAGTATAGTAGACACGTTTTGGCGGTAATCTCGTGTGTAGATAAGAATCTGCTGTGGGATAACTTGTGCTTAGTAAGCTTCTATACTCAAGCATTGAATTGCAGTGTTTCCTGTCATTCCTTCAAGTCATGTAGTTTCTATGTTGTTGTCTATATCGTTTTACGTTCAGCATCAGACGTTTTCCCCTATCAGCGGTCGGAGGAAAGAGCAAGCTAGGTAACATGAGTTTACCTCTTCGCTCAGCTACACTTCCGCCTATAGCATCAGGTACGATGTACCTTTGAGGAAGGTTTTGTGAAATGTCTCTTCGAGATAGAAAATACTCTACATTAAACTTGATTTATTGCTATACACAGAGGAATATTTGAAGCGTGCATATTCGTCTGTAAAGGCTTACATGTTCGGTTCGTGCAACTGGTCTAAAAATGCTTCATTAATTACACTCGTAAAAATAGCATACTTCGTTTCATTGGACGTATGTCGTGTACAGAAACGCCACCATTTCTTACTGATCTTTCCCTTTGCCATAATAGACCGCGTAGCATACCATTTTGGTTCACTCTGTTTCGAATTTTGTTCTATTGTTATACGCAACGAAAGCGTTCTTTTCAGTCGTTGCTGAGCTGTTTGGATTAACGATAATGGTTAATGGTCATTATGAAAGAAAGGACGAAACGAAGCCCCAATAGATAACAAAGCAGAAGCCACTACGACGATGTCTCATAGGGACGGCTATTGTTGGCGTCGCTATTGCTTGCCAAAGCAACAAAGGTTAACTGCGCGCATACGCTAGGTAAGCGACCACTTTCGGCCATCTGTTATGACACTGATTTGTGCAAACGGCGTGCTATCGTCGTCTATATTTAAGCGCCCACCAGCCATCTTTTTGAACAACTCCACTCCCAATGGAGTGATTCACTATTGACCGAAGATCTTATAATATGTGTGGAAGAACTTTGAATGCATCTGATGGTACAACAGGCTTTTAGGCAATGTTGAAAAATCTGTCACTCTGCTCAAGTAAAACATAAAATTGTAATTTCTTGAAGGACATGGCTTCGCCATAGAATGCCCATTTTAACTTTTTGATACTGTATCTCAGATGAAAGAATATCTAAAATTTTTCTCTACATTTGCTAAGGTCATACAGATATAGATTTCTTACCGAAAAGTTGCTTGTAAATGTATGGCAAGCATTGCTTTAGCATATGCTGCAGTGGCTGGCCCGAGAAACAGACAATATACACATAAATTGGCCCACAAGAATTTACTTGGACTAGTCCTTTGTATGTACAGTGACATATAGCATAAATCAGTTATAGGAAATTATCACGTTAGCTTAATATCCCGATAACTTTTACTCCGTGTTTGGTTAAACTGGCCCGATCGCATTGCAAGGAAACGCACTTCACCAGTAACTTTAAATAAAAAATCTTTATAAAAGACGGTTTGCCAATATTCATATTGTTTGCATATCAGTCAGATCAAGATAACCTGGGAGGATTTGATCCTTAGGCTTCAGACTTTTTTTTTGTTAAATTGGGCATTCTTTTAGTTCTCGTGAGCTCACTTATTTATGTGCTTTTCAACAAGTAGAGTTGTTGCCAGAGTACATGTCGTATTTGTATTTTAGCAGAAATCTTTTGCGGTTAGGTTACTCTGTAGAGGTGGAATCCTTATTTTGGATCATGGGAATCTACTGCTTTCAAGTGTAATTGCGGGCATATAATATTGCGCCTTCAAAGACACGTAATTAGAAACGTACGTGTTGCTGGTTCGGAAAAGGCTGTGTCTGGATGAGGAGTCATAGGGCCCAAGAGAGAGGTTCGAGTCCTGTGGCTTCCGAAAGTTCTAAATTAGGCTAATTCTAGCGACTGAACAATAGTTTTAACGACTCGTATGTATCGTGAACGATAAGCCGCGCTCTTTTCATAAGACAGGCAACGTAATGCCCTAGCTTTACAAGAGCATATGCGTTTGTTTGGCGATACCGGCCCCCAAAGGGAGGCGCACAGTCTTCCGGAATGTGTTGTTATCTAAAAATGTCCTTACCTTTTTGTTCAAAGGAGCGTATTCAACCACTTACTACACCCCGAAATTAAACTGGCTTTACTACGCAGATAGCTACAGTGATTTAGCAGTCCACAAGTTTTGCACAAGGAACTGTAAAGCCGTATTTTTTTCTATGCGAGGCCGCTGTGTGCCCTCGCAAAAGAAAATCTTTTCGCTTGATTTGAACATTAGACCTAACTTTTACAGGAAAGACTAGTAAACCTAGAAGTTACTCTTTTACTTAACTAACAGCTGCTTCTGGACTTGTTCCAGAACCTGGCCTTAATGTTTTCTAGTATCTTGTGAAATCCATTTTGTACAATTAAAGAAAAGTCAATTTTTACCTGTAATGCAAGAATCTTTTTTAATTTATAAGCCAACATCAGCAATCTGTCACCTAATATAATATATTTAGTTGTAAGTTAGAGAGTTTAGAATACAGGAAGAACCACGCTGGGCCTAACGGGCCACCTATTAAACCCTTAGAGCTGATAAAACAATATCATATACTAACATACAATAAAAAAAAAAAATAAAATAAAATAGTATCTTCCCACAAAAGGCTGCAGGAGGTCCTGTAAGTCGGTGAGCAGTATATTGAAAAACTGGAACACCCGCGCCTTTCTTACGTAGCATATGATTTGTGACGGTGTATCAGACGCATTCTTAAAAATGGTATGACAAAAAAGCTGAACGAATAATAGATTCAAGGTAACGTCGACTCAATTCGAGCTTCCGACCCAATTAGTTGACCGCTACTGAAGCACATCTGTCCCAAACTATTCTTGAGGTCATCGAGAGCTAGCCTCCTAGTTCTTTTTTAAGACAACTAGCCGGTTACTTCGATGCTACCTCATTATGCAGTCATCTTCCTAATTCAGTCAGATTATACCGAACTGCGAATTGTGAAAATACTCCAAAGCATGTCCCATGGAAGACCAGGGTGTATTCGCAATTTGACAGCCCGAAAGACTCCACTACTGTGACCAACGTGGCTTATTTTCGAATAAGCTTAGTTTGCTACTAGATTTTGATCTCAAAATCTACTCTCTATTACGGGTTGATCCGTATCGGTTAAACAGTCAAAGGTGATTTGCTTGAAACAGTAAACCCTTATGTGGCCTATTCTTGTTGTCGTTTACAAACGTTTTTATGTATGAACGTGTGTTTTTTAGTTACCAGCGTTTTGATTGGATATCTAAACAAAAGTTTCCGAGCATATGGTGTATGCGTTGTGAACGCATCAACGTAATTATTTAAGTTGGTGTTATGATCTATATAGAAGTTCCCAGGATGTCTGTAAGCGTTACTCGTAAGAACTGTATAAACGATCACGGGAAAATATTAAAAAATGAACAGAACAAAACGTGGAGTCGAGCCAGGCTGGGAATCGTTTAAGGAAAAATAAGGACAATAGCAGAAGTAACAGTAGTAACAGGTAAGTGGTGTTGTAGTTACGATGGATATGTAAGACTACAGAAGTAAATAGGCACAGTACGATCATCGCCGATTAACGACAACTTCTATCTTTTCTATTTAATTGCACAGATTGTGTCTTGCGCCCCTCGATCGTGTCCTAGATCGACAGCGCGGACCTTGACCCAATTTTTACGCGTCATTCGAATCTGTGTAAAGAAACCTGAGGTAAATCTGGGAAAGTCTAATGTTCTCACTTCAAATTAGGGTTGGGTCGTGTGACGCTATCTGCGGATATTGGTAGGCCAATGATGTCTTCTAGGAAAACCGGTTACTAGTTATCTGTTTTTAGGAAAGTATGAAGAATACGCGATCCACTGTTACACGGTTAAATACAGGAAAGCAGAAATGATATTAAGAATAGCATGAAGGTGGGACGGCAAAAAGTAGAAGATAAAAACCAGACTTAAATGGCCATGTTCATAGCCTTTAAACGTAGAATGACTGTCATTTATCTGTTTGTGCCATTCATGGAGTACACGACCACTGATTGCGAACAATTGATTTCTCTGAAATAAATTATTGTTGTGTCAGAATAAAATCAATATCAAATCATAATTTTGTTATAACTCTAGTGTAGAAAGTTTTGCATTCCTTATATTAAGGACAAGGTTTTACCTAGTCTGTGCTACAGCGGATAACCCAATCAGCCCTTAAAGGACATAGATCTAGATTAAGCACGCTGGTCGATAGATGTACAGTAACAGCAGCGAAGAACTAAGAAAACAGTAAGATTAGGTAGAAAAATTCACACTTAAAATTTACGTTAAAAAAACCCGATACATTTTAGCATGACCTCAGTCTACGAAAGACTTTAACAATCCGGTATCAATATAAGGTTCACTCACACTTGAAGTAGTTGTAAGAAAACAGGTAGGAAAAGCCAATCTGACCGAAGATAGTGTGAAACAGCTGCAACGATGCAACTGTACTTTCGACAGCTGCCTTTTTAAGCTGCGCATTTGGTACAGATATCGTCTCATCAATCTTAAGAAAAACAAATTCACCCTCACTCGCAGCTACACAAGAAAATAACAATATGGTAATGGAAACGACGCATAAGTTGTAACACATAAGTGGTATTCAACCGTGGCTTGCTTAGTATAGTTTCAATTAGAATCTCCTTAAAGTACAAACTCCGAAAACTGCTCAGGTTATCGCTGCGTGTGGATTAATGCGAAAGACCTGTTGATGAGCAAAGTGAATAGGGTCCATATATTTCTATGAATAAAGGCACAATTATTCTCAGTGACACACATTATTATTGATGAACAAGTTAGGACTGAGGTTGTATTTTTTCGTCACGTGTATGGATTTGCAAGTACGCTACTTTCTCTTAACAATGATTTTGATTTTTGGGAAAAAAGATTTTTTACAATTCAATCGGTGGGTTTTTTATAAAAAAAAATTACTTGCAAATGTTACTGAAGCACATTTGCGAAAAGAGTGAAACA